CCCGTCACAATTTCTGCTCGCCTAAAATCCCGTCAATTTCTGCTCGCTTAAAATCCCGTCACCATTTCTGGTTGCCTCAATACCCGTCACCATTCCTGGTTGCCTCATAGCCTGTCAGCATATTTGGTCGCATAAAATGCCATCATTTCTGGTTGCCTAAGATTCCGTCATTTCTGGTCACCTAAAATTCTGTGACCATTTATGGTTGAATAAAATCCCGTCACCAATTCTGGTCGCCTCAAATCCCGTCACCAATTCTGGTTGCCTCAAATCCTTTCACCATTTCTGGTCATCTAAAATCCCATAACCATTTCTGGTCATCTAAAATCCCATAACCATTTCTGGTCGCATAAAATCCCGTCACCATTTTTGGTCACAAAATCCTGTCATTTCTGGTTGCCTAAAATCCCGTCACCAATTCTGGTTGGCTAAAATCTTGTCACCATTTCTGGTCATCTAAAATTCCATAACCATTTCTGGTCATCTAAAATCCCATAACCATTTCTGGTTGCATAAAATCCCGTCACCATTTTTGGTCACAAAATCCTGTCACCATTTCTGGTTGCCTACAATCCCGTCACAATTTCTGCTCGCCTAAAATCCCGTCACCAATTCTGGTCACCTAAAATCCCATCACCAATTCTGGTCGCCTAAATCCTGTCACCATTTTTAGTTGCCTAAAATCCCATCACCAATTCTGGTCGCCTCAAATCCCATCACCAATTCTGGTTGCCTCAAATCCCGTCACCAATTCTGGTTGCCTCAAATCTCATAACCATTTCTGGTCATCTAAAATCCCATAACCATTTCTGGTCGCATAAAATTCCATCACCATTTCTGGTCACAAAATCCTGTCACCATTTCTGCTCGCCTAAAATCCCGTCACCGTTTCTGCTCTCCTAAAATCCCGTCACCAATTCAGGTCGCCAAAAAACCCGTCACCATTTCTGGTTGCCTCAAAGCCTGTCACCATATTTGGTCGTATAAAATCCCATCATTTCTGGTTGCCTAAAATCCCGTCACCAATTCTGGTCGCCTCAAATCCCGTCACCATTTCTGGTCGCATAAAATTCCATCACCATTTCTGGTCATCTAAATTCCCGTCACCATTTCTGCTCGCCTAAAATCCCGTCACCAATTCAGGTCGCCAAAAAAACCATCACCATTTCTGCTCGCCTAAATCCCATCACCATTTCTCTAGTGTAAAATCCCGTCACCATTTCTGGTCACAAAATCCTGTCACCATTTCTGGTTGCCTAAATTCCCGTCACAATTTCTGCTCGCCTAAAATCCCGTCACAAATTCTGCTCGCCTAAAATCCCGTCACAATTTCTGCTCGCTTAAAATCCCGTCACCATTTCTGGTTGCCTCAGCCTGTCAGCATATTTGGTCGCATAAAATCCCATCATTTCTGGTCGCCTAAAATCCCGTCACCATTTCTGGTCGCCTAAAATCCCATAACCATTTTTGGTCGCCTAAAATACTGTCGCCAATTCTGGTCACCTAAAATCCCATCAATTCTGGTCGCCTAAAATCCCGTCACTATTTCTGGTCATCTAAAATCCCATAACCATTTCTAGTCGCATAAAATTCCATCACCATTTCTGGTCACAAAATCCCGTCACCAATCCAAGTCGCCAAAAAACCCATCACCATTTTTGCTCGCCTAAATCCCGTCACCATTTCTCTAGTGTAAAATCCCGTCACCATTTCTCGTCACAAAATCCTGTCACCATTTTTGGTTGCCTAAATTCCCGTGACAATTTCTGCTCGCCTAAAATCCCATCACCAATTCAGGTTGACAAAAAAACCCGTCAACATTTCTGGTTGCTTCAAAGCATGTCAGCATATGTGGTCGCATAAAATCCCATCATTTCTGGTTGCCTAAAATCCCGTCACCAATTCAGGTTGCCCAAAATCCCGTCACCAATTCTGGTCGCCTAAAATTCCATCACTTTCTGGTCACCTAAAAGCCTGTCACCATTTTTGGTCGCATAAAATCCCGTCACCATTTCTGGTTGCCTAAATTCCCGTCACAATTTCTGCTCGCCTAAAATCCCGTCAATTTCTGCTCGCTTAAAATCCCGTCACCATTTCTGGTTGCCTCAATACCCGTCACCATTCCTGGTTGCCTCATAGCCTGTCAGCATATTTGGTCGCATAAAATGCCATCATTTCTGGTTGCCTAAGATTCCGTCATTTCTGGTCACCTAAAATTCTGTGACCATTTATGGTTGAATAAAATCCCGTCACCAATTCTGGTCGCCTCAAATCCCGTCACCAATTCTGGTTGCCTCAAATCCTTTCACCATTTCTGGTCATCTAAAATCCCATAACCATTTCTGGTCATCTAAAATCCCATAACCATTTCTGGTCGCATAAAATCCCGTCACCATTTTTGGTCACAAAATCCTGTCATTTCTGGTTGCCTAAAATCCCGTCACCAATTCTGGTTGGCTAAAATCTTGTCACCATTTCTGGTCATCTAAAATTCCATAACCATTTCTGGTCATCTAAAATCCCATAACCATTTCTGGTTGCATAAAATCCCGTCACCATTTTTGGTCACAAAATCCTGTCACCATTTCTGGTTGCCTACAATCCCGTCACAATTTCTGCTCGCCTAAAATCCCGTCACCAATTCTGGTCACCTAAAATCCCATCACCAATTCTGGTCGCCTAAAATCCTGTCACCATTTTTAGTTGCCTAAAATCCCATCACCAATTCTGGTCGCCTCAAATCCCATCACCAATTCTGGTTGCCTCAAATCCCGTCACCAATTCTGGTTGCCTCAAATCTCATAACCATTTCTGGTCATCTAAAATCCCATAACCATTTCTGGTCGCATAAAATTCCATCACCATTTCTGGTCACAAAATCCTGTCACCATTTCTGCTCGCCTAAAATCCCGTCACCGTTTCTGCTCTCCTAAAATCCCGTCACCAATTCAGGTCGCCAAAAAACCCGTCACCATTTCTGGTTGCCTCAAAGCCTGTCACCATATTTGGTCGTATAAAATCCCATCATTTCTGGTTGCCTAAAATCCCGTCACCAATTCTGGTCGCCTCAAATCCCGTCACCATTTCTGGTCGCATAAAATTCCATCACCATTTCTGGTCATCTAAATTCCCGTCACCATTTCTGCTCGCCTAAAATCCCGTCACCAATTCAGGTCGCCAAAAAAACCATCACCATTTCTGCTCGCCTAAATCCCATCACCATTTCTCTAGTGTAAAATCCCGTCACCATTTCTGGTCACAAAATCCTGTCACCATTTCTGGTTGCCTAAATTCCCGTCACAATTTCTGCTCGCCTAAAATCCCGTCACAAATTCTGCTCGCCTAAAATCCCGTCACAATTTCTGCTCGCTTAAAATCCCGTCACCATTTCTGGTTGCCTCAGCCTGTCAGCATATTTGGTCGCATAAAATCCCATCATTTCTGGTCGCCTAAAATCCCGTCACCATTTCTGGTCGCCTAAAATCCCATAACCATTTTTGGTCGCCTAAAATACTGTCGCCAATTCTGGTCACCTAAAATCCCATCAATTCTGGTCGCCTAAAATCCCGTCACTATTTCTGGTCATCTAAAATCCCATAACCATTTCTAGTCGCATAAAATTCCATCACCATTTCTGGTCACAAAATCCCGTCACCAATCCAAGTCGCCAAAAAACCCATCACCATTTTTGCTCGCCTAAATCCCGTCACCATTTCTCTAGTGTAAAATCCCGTCACCATTTCTCGTCACAAAATCCTGTCACCATTTTTGGTTGCCTAAATTCCCGTGACAATTTCTGCTCGCCTAAAATCCCATCACCAATTCAGGTTGACAAAAAAACCCGTCAACATTTCTGGTTGCTTCAAAGCATGTCAGCATATGTGGTCGCATAAAATCCCATCATTTCTGGTTGCCTAAAATCCCGTCACCAATTCAGGTTGCCCAAAATCCCGTCACCAATTCTGGTCGCCTAAAATTCCATCACTTTCTGGTCACCTAAAAGCCTGTCACCATTTTTGGTCGCATAAAATCCCGTCACCATTTCTGGTCACAAAATCCTGTCACCATTTTTGGTTGCCTAAATTCCCGTGACAATTTCTGCTCACCTAAAATCCCGTCACCAATTCAGGTTGACAAAAAAACCCGTCAACATTTCTGGTTGCCTCAAAGCATGTCAGCATATGTGGTCGAAATAAAATCCCATCATTTCTGGTTGCCTAAAATCCCATCACCAATTCTGGTCGCCTAAAATCCCATCACTATTTCTGGTCACCTAAAAGCCTGTCACCATTTTTGGTCGCATTAAATCCCGTCGCCATTTCTAGTCAGCAACTCAAACTATTGACTGGAAAAATGATCAGTGTGCCACCTTTTCGACAACAATGGCGTACGGAATGGCGGGACATACAGGTGGTTAAAAAAGACCTCGTCGGGCGACTCAACCAAACCGCTTCCTGGCCTCTCGCTGCTCCGTAAACTCCGGATATTGCACGGCTGATTCGCTCATCTTCTAAGGATAAAATAAAAGACGGTTTCACCTCCTACTGTAGAGTGGAACAAACCATCAGGCGGCGGCACCAAGACGATCCACCAGCTTAACTACCAACACTGTTGAATGGCCAAAAAACAAGATATTGCTTTATAACGATCGAACAAAGACGGTCACAGTATCGTGCGTTTTCAGTTGCTCTTCTGTGGCCATCTGGAAAGCTCTTTCGATATTAGGAACAATTAACTTTTAAATCTAGATTGAAAACGAATTTCTTTAGAACTGCTAAATGTGTGTATATATTTTTTCTCATTCCCCCGCACCTCTGATTATGTACGGTGCAAAATAAGTTCAACATACATACACATATGTGATCTTTGTTACCGTTACAAAAGTCAGTTGACTATCACTGCAACACAACATATGAAAGAACAAGATTTATCGACAATGATTATCGCTATGAGTTCAGTAACCCTTTCGTTCACCATTACAATAGCGGTGCATGACTCACCAGCTTCAGCGGATGATATGAGTAGTCTCTGTACCAGAAAGGTTGGCCAACTTGCTCGTAGGTGAGCAGCTGTTCCGGGAACACGCCGTGGAACGCCTCTCTCTCCAGCAGGTCCCTGGACTCCCCTGCCACCACCCCGATCTTTTCCAAGCATGCAGCGATGCCCACGTCTTCCGCCTTCGCCTCGTCGTCGCACGCCTTCATCTCGACGGCCTCCACGAGCTTGGACACCGCACGCCTGCTCAGCACGTAGCCACTGCCCCCGCTCATGTAGCCCTGCTTCACGAAGTACTTGAATCTCCGTCCGAAGAAGATGGGCTGCTCCGCTGAGTAATTGGATAGCAGGAGCTTCAGGTTCTCAACGACGATGAAGGTGTCATCTTCGGCCTTGAGCACCCAGTCAACGTCGCGGAGGTGGTGCCGGTGAACGTACTTGAAGGCGTCAATGGTTCTGTAGTATTGGTTGCCGCCCGCGGTGTCTTCCGTCCGCAAGCCGATGGTGCCGTAGACATCATCCGCCTGGGAGCTCATGAAGAGCGCCACATCGCAGCGCTTGGCCCACGATGCCTTGATGTGCGGGATCTTCTCCGGGGCGCTCTTCGGATCGACCATGACCCAGCACAGCAGGCGCACTCTCTTGCTCAGCGCTTCCGCGGTGGAGTTGTCTAGGCCTGCGAACAGAGAAAGACATCGTGCGTGTAAGTCCACGCGCAACGTGATTTTAAGCCTTCGTTTATCGCCGTGCGGATTCAAAGTTGTGAATTTCCCATCAACTCACGAGGCCAACGTCTATAGCTGCAGCAGACAATGCTGCAGGGAACTAGAACCATTCCAGTTGGCAACAGACACAGACTGACATGACCCCAGGCTCTACTGCTCAATAATGCATGCGCGTGTTCGTGAGCCATCACTCCGACAGTTGACCTCTACTGAATTAAGGAAGTATTGTAAACATCCAACATGACATTCACGAAGTTAAATATGTAACACCATCAATTGCATTCAATGAGTGTTTCTATTGCCTCGTGAGACGCGGCATCGTTCATTCGGTTACTCTCACAGCAAGCAGGGGACGCCACGGCCTTGGAAGGTAACACTGCACAGCTACTTCTGTAGTCTCTTCAATAGGCCCATGTCCAAACTAGGACACTTAATATTCCCCGCAAAAAGTATCTATTGCATTTCAAAGTAAAGGTTTATATATATACACACACAGTAATGCCCCGGTTTGTTGGGGATGCGTTCCTGAAAGGTGCGACGACAAATATATTGGATGTAAATCGAAGAAGCAGTTTATAGGGTAGTAGTGGGTTTTCCCTCTACATTAAGAAACTTGCATTTAGAGTATTTGGCTGCTATACATTTATAGTGTAATAGCGCTGGCTGGTGGACAGCAGAGGCAACTAGTGGACAGACAGTACACACGCCGGTGAGGGCGTGCCGGGGTGTGTTGGCAGAGCAGAGGAACTAGGGCAAGGTTCACGGAGGACCCTATCTGGAGGCCCCTGGAACCTGCTCGCGGGTTCGAGAAGGGAAGCGCGGTCAGGGCGGAGCCAGGCATAAAAGGAGCCGAGAGTGGGGGCTCGAGGCTGCCGGTTCTGGGAGTGGACTCGTCTTGTCGTTTCTGTCGTCTCGTCGCCGTCGTCGCTAAACGTCTCCGCTAGATATTGCGCTACGAAGGATAGTAGCTGGCTATCTCAGTTAGCGCCATCAGTGTTAGACGGCTAGTGTTGTGTACAGGCTAGGCTAAGCTACTGTGGAGAGTGTGTGGACGAGACCGTGGAAGTTGTTAATAAAGAAAGTGCCTCCTAGAAACTCTGTCTCTGAATCGTTGACACTACACAATTCCACATGATAAGCCACTTCGTTGAGCTATCATTTGTGATCGGTCGCTTGAGCCAGGTCGCTTCTGAAAAATAGCTATACAGCTCAGTGGGCCTTATCTGGTAAAATAAAAAATAGTTTATTTGATTAAAATTTCCCCAATCAACATCGACTGTGCTCAGACGATGGGCACACTCCACTTGAGAACCCCGTTCATCCTCGAGTGACTGCAACCCACACTATCCTGATTTGCTGGGGGAAAAAAATGTTCACTGCTCAGATTGAGAAGTCTAGATTCATAAACGAGAAAGTGGGTGAAAAAAATGTGTGTAGGCAAGTGTGAACAACAGTGTAGACAAATGTAAGTGTACGTAGAAATAAATATTTAATTTAAACTCCCCCTCTGCCCCACCCCCCTCTCTAAGGCCTCGACACAAAGACTTCTTTCTGTGTGCCTATGTGTGTGTGTCTCTGTCTCTGTGTGAGTCTCTCTGCTTGTATGCATGTCTGTCTGTCTCCGTATCTATGTTTTGTCTCAAATTTAGCAATCTTTGGAAGAACGCAATCCACCAGGTGTAGGGTGTTGACTGGTGTGTTCGCCGACTCTCTGTGTTGTATTGCATTATATTTCCAAGTTTACTATATTTGTTTTCTCATTCATTTGTACCTGATGATGGTTGCCTGTGTTGCAATCGAAACGTCGTATTCTATTATTTTATTTCTTTCCCCGTGACTTTACCGAAAGAACCAAAGAGTAATTCCTGCAGTCACGAAAGCTTCGAATATAGTTGGAAGTGTAAACAAGTGTAAATAAATGTAAGTGTAAACAACAGGATGTGTTCGTAGATGGTGATTGTAGGTAGGCACCCCACACACACACCAATTCAAGTCTTTTTTAACACGTAGTAGTAGCAAATGTGTCGTCAAACCCGCCACCACCCGACACAGCCTGAGTAAGGTTTGTCACGGAAACAAAACGCGCCAATTAGTTACTAGTTCAGCACACCCGTGTGTTGGAGAGTAAACCCACAACATTTACACTTCGAATACGACGTTTCGCCAGTAATTACAGCTATCATGTTTAACACGTAGGCCACATTGGGCGGACAAGCCAGAGTTACTCGAAGCGTAAATGTTGTGAGTTTACTCTCCCAACACCTTTGAAAGTATAGTAGTAGCACATAATTAGTCATCGTTTATTCCAGAATTACCCCCTACGATGAGACCGACTGCGGCGTTTTTGATTGCCCGAGCCATGGTGAGCTGTGATGTCCAGCAGTGGTCGTTGCGGGCGAGCGAATCATCTTTGTCGCTCACCGTAGCGGCTCGACGCCTCCAGGCTGTGGCCCAGGGGTCCGCCGCGACGGCCGTCCGCCGGCGCGTGCCGCCACGTCTTCGTGTGCACGGAGAAGAAGTAGCAGCAGGAGAATCCGCCGAGCCAGCCGAGGGCGAGCAACAGCCAGGAGCGTCTGCGGGCGTCCCGCGCGCACATGGCTCAACAGGGCGAGAGCGGCGGCAGCAGCAGCAGTAGTAATAGCAGTAGCAACAGTAGCAGCAGCAGCAACAGTAGCAGGAGCGGCAACAGCAGCGGCAATAGCAGCGTATCAAAGCAGCAGTAGCAGCAAGCACGATCGCCTCCCTCCCTGATCCTTCCCCGCTCCGTCGCACGCGCGGAGGCGGCGCCTCCTCTGCGGCGCGCTGGAGGAGGTCGCGCTTCGGGCGATCCGCGACTTGCTTTGACGGAATCGTCAAATGCCATCAATCACGCTTACAGTTGAGATGAGGTTTATTAAAAAAAATGAGTACGGGGTAACAAACAACAAACCATTGGGCACGTTCGTGAGTAGAATTGTAAGAGGCGCTGTTTCGTACCTCCGATTGGCACTTGGCTACGTACGGTGCGAAAGACGGTTCAACGTACATACGAAGTAAGGGCCATTCTTCATAACATGTAGAGAGGCCAGAGAGATAAAGCAGATTAAAGTTGCAGACTGCAATTTACACCATGGGCCCATGGTAAGAATTACATGTTTTGGTATTTTCTGATGAAGTTGTTAAAATTGGTGTAGTAATGTTATTTAAACAGTAGCTAGTAACATACAAACCCTTTAAATAATCAAACATGTATTACTGCATAAACTGATTTGTATTAAAAGTAGAATTGTAATATGTTGCTTACACATGTGGGAGTGTGGTCTTTAATTATCAACGTCACTCTAACCACGGGCAGCATTGTCCAACGGGTGGGGACCATTCCTGGGATCAATAATTATTTCAATTGAATCCAAGAGGCTCTGAAGGACCAAAGGAACTTTCAAATATTTACATTCCTTGCCGGCAAGGTAGAGGAATGTATCTCAAACGTTTAAATCATCGCGATTGAAAACTAATTTCTTTAGACCTGCTTTGTGGTTTTAGTTTGTTGTCCTTCCCCCGCACCTCTGGTTAGCGCGGTGGCTACGTACAGTGCGAAATAAGTTTAACGTACAGTACATACAACCCATCTAAAACTAGGTTTATTTGAGTGTCTTTTATCCTTTGCCGTCCAATGTTACCGACAAAACAAATGTGTCCCAGGAGGTCGCCCGTATATACGACTCTATACATGTGAAGAGGAGTCGTAGAATGGTTAAAGCACTTTGTTGCACCAAGGCACGCAACACTGGTTCCAAGACCAACCCCGAACACGGTCCCACAGCCCCATTTAACCCCTCCATCTCCGCTCCCAATACACAGCCGCGGCGGGCACGCCTGGCGCGGGTGACGTCACTGCCCTTTAACCCCTGACCCCCGTACCGCGCATTCCCGCGCGTGTGATTTTTTTGCAGTTTTCATTTATTTGGTATAGCCCTGTGAGCCATTCGGCTCTTGAATCGGGTGCAACCGCAACAAACAAAAAACATGAACAAGAAAACATCTTAAAGTGACTTTGTGTGACTGTGCAAAATGATTGGTGCGTGGTGTCGTGAGAGCGGAGATGTCGTGTCTGCATGGTGCGTGAGGGTGGCTCGCAGATCCCTTACAAATGTGTAGAGTAGTATGGAGACGTGACGTCATAGGGGCCGTCCATAAATGACGTCACGCACTTGGGGGGTTTGAGAAATGTGACGTCACATCAAAATGCGCAACTTTAAATAAATATAGACAGCACGTTCTACTTAAATATACTTTTTAATAAATGTTTTCTCCTACAACATCAGAGTGCGGTGCCACATTAAATACGCACTACAATGACAATAGTTTAAAGCGATTTGAAGCATGTTTTATATATTATTTGGGGGGGGGGGGGGCAGAGCTTTGGGACGTCATAATTCAGGGGGGGTCTTACTTTTTGTGACGCCGTGTGACAAAGGGGGGGTAAAAAAATCGTACAAAATCGCGTGACGTCATTTATAGACGGCCCCATACGTGCTGTGCGGTGCGATAACGTCATGTCACCTCGGGGTACTTAAGGGGGGCAGTGTGACGAAAGCGGGGTCGTTGTGGGAGCCCGGGATGGAGAGCGGTTGAAGAGACAGCCAGGGATAGAGCTCAGCGAGTGTGGAGAGAAGCCGGCGGTAGTCGTGGAAGGTGCTGCTCTCCCCGGTCGGTCGGTGTTGGCTGAACCCCCGATCCGACTCGAGTGAGAGAGCCCAAGAGATAGCCGAGGCTAGGGACAGACAAAACCGAGGGTCCACGTGAAGGACCGAGTGTAGGGCACCTACCTCTGGTGGAAGTTGTCACCAACCCTTGTTAATAAACCGGCGCAAGCACTTACTTGAAGACCTGCCTCTGCGTCATTACTACAGAACAAATGGATAAGGTTTATCTCGCGCTCAGTAATAAAGCTACATGGTTAGTGAGGGTGAGGTGTCCATTCAGCCGTGGCGGCTGAGCGGTATTCATCTTGAATGCGAGGCAGATGTCACCTTCTCGTCTCGTTCCCACCAGAGATGAAGATGTGGCGAGTTGATTGTGATGCGATTCGGGAGGTTGAAGCTGTGGGGGCCGACGTCCGCCTCTCTGCTCCCTGTGAGCGTGCGGGGTGTGACGTCCACCCCCTCTATTCCCCAGGCGGCCGGGCCCCCGCCGATCGAGTGATCGACCCCTCCACGCCAACGCCCTCTCTGAGGGACATCGCTACTCGGCTGGCTCACCACCACCTAGGGTTATCTCCCCCACGCACACGTACCCTACCACACACGAACGAACACGGAGGCGTGCATGCGCACGCCCCTGCAAGCGCGTTGTTTCCTCAAAGACCTGGCGCCAGCCAAAAGGAACGGCGGCGGTATGAATATGCACCCCCACCGTGGATAACCCTTAATCCGCTGTGCAAACAGAGGCTAATGCTCGCGGGAAAGGAACGGCTGGGACAGGGCTATGGGGCACGCTTCACCGTTAACGCTATTTCTACTGTGGTGTAAACGCACTGCATAAAGCGCGCTGTGTAAACACGCACGCGAGCACAAGCACGCGCAAACGACAAACGACGGCGGCTCTGTGTGCTGCAGTACACGCACCTCACGTGCACACTCACACGAATCCCCTCGCTGCAGACCTGCACTCGCGCTCACGCCGGGCACACCGTCTCTCCACGCAGACGCGCCACACACAGATCACAGATGCTACGCCGAGGTTCTGCCCTCACACAGAAATCACGCTACACCAATATTCTGGTGCAAATACCCTACACTAGAGTTTATTAACGGCGCAAATACCCGCGACCTGAAGGGGGAATATTTCGCGAGGAGAGCCTAGCCTAACTGCCTATGACCCCAGTTACACAAACGCTCTACCACGTACCTCATAGCTGTACTCATGGTGTCCCACGGACGCTGTGAGAGTCGGAGGGAGAATGACGAGCGAAACCCTCGCTTATCACTGCCTCGTAGCAGCACTCGCTGGCATCACACGGATGCTACGAGCGGTTCGAGGAGGCACGACGGCAGTGAGGGACCCCGGATTGCCCGGAGGTTGAAGACAACTTAACTCACCGTCCCGGGGCACCTATCTTTATTCTCTAAACTTCAAAGGCCCAGGGTGTCATTGTACCACGCAGCCAATTGCGCGCTCACCTGCGCCGTCTACATGGAGGGCCACGGGGTCTGCTGCTGCTGCGGACCCTCACCCATTGCCCTCCCGTGCTCATTAATTCTAACCCACTGGTCTGCCCTTCCGGCCTAATATTCCACCCTCTGCCCCTTCCAGTGTCATGAGTAACTCATTGCGGTTGGCCCAGTGAACCTTTTCGTTCTGCGCCCATACAATCTTAAGCCAATTTAGGGGCACAGCAATGTAATTTGTCCTGTGAGGGTCGGCCAATCTCCTGGCACTGGGAAACCGTGGGACTCTCCCTCTAGGGGCCCTTTGGATTAAAACCCGATGTGCCAAGCAACCCCCCCCCCCGTCAGGACACTACGTGGGTGCGCTGTATGTGGGTGTGTGTTTAGTGTGGGGGCCGGGAGGGGATTGCCGCGTTTGCAGAGTTGCTTCGTGGTCGTGGCACCACAAAGCTCCTGAGCCTCAGCGAGGTTCTGTGAATCCGTTATCAATGCGGATTCACGTACGACAGTCAATTTATAGCAGGCGGCAAGTTGGTCAACACCACGTCTGAGTAAGGGTCTTGCGTGACGTGGACTTTATCGCACCAGCCTACCGTTTGACCTTCAGCAAGGTCAGAGTGAATACACGTCTGGTGATGAACTGGCAATGAAGTCACCAACTTTCGTGAATTCAATTAATCAACACAAACATGAATATATATATGACACGTGATGCAATAACTGAACAATGGTTTACAGCAAAATGGGCTCGTGCCCACTGAGTCGCGCGGAGTACAATTTCGCGAACAGCGCAGCATGCGCTGCCTTGCGTCCCAAACTCTCCTGTGAGCCAGCCTCGTGGTTGCCCGTTGCGGTGCGGACTAAACTGTGACCGTGACGCCAAAGTCCCTGGCAGCGCGCGCACACAACCACAGCTCCTCACTCCGGTGAGTGCAGCAGGCGTGGAGGCCTCGGTGTGGAGTCTCCCACTCCAGCAGTGGATAGAACACTCGTGGCCCGAGGTCTCCTTTCTGCACAGCCGAGTGGCAGGTCGCACCCTCGTGGCTTTCGGTGCGGCTCCTTCCACACCGCAGTAGTAGAGAGAGCACTCCGCTTTGTGTGGGCACCTACACAATCCGGTAGCAGTAGATAGAGCACTCCGCTTTGTGTGGTTACCTACACAGCCCGATAGCAGTAGATAGAGCATGTATGGTCCTTGATGCAGCGTTACCTTACGCTGCCGCAGTAGCCGTGAGCACTCGCGACTATTTGTGGTCTGTCCACACTCCTTCGGGAGATGGAAGTACTCATCCCGCCTGCTGGAATACTTTCGCGGAGCTCCTTAAGATTGGAAAATTGTTGAGGCTAATCTTTTCGATAGCCAGGTTTGCGGGGTGGCAATGTCAGAACAACTGTCACCGCGTCCTGTGTCTGCGGTCGACCGGTTGCACAGCTGTTTCATGCTCCACCGAGGAGGCCCGATGCTAGGCCCTGTCCACTGCTTCTTTTCATCAGGGTGTTTACGTGCAGTGAAGAGTGCCTCTTTGGCTTCGTGACTATATTCATCGTTGCTGTACAAGCAACGCAGGTGGAGAAACCGTGACGGTGTTTGAATGCCCTCTTGGTGTGGGCGGGGTGCGACGATGCATAGAGCAGGCAGCAAG